GTCTTTGTGCCTCATTTTTTTCATTTCTTTTGATTGGCGAAAACATTTGGCCCTACTTTTAGCTGCTCTGCGGTTAGCATAAGACAGTGTAAGGGAAAGTAAAAGGCACTGAGGCCAGATGATGGTACTATTGTTATTTCTTCAGATACGACAGTCCCCCCAGTGGGGGGGGGGGGGCGCCCGGACGCCTTCCTAAGATGCGCACCCCCCCCGGGGGGGGGGGGGGGAATCCAGGTCAGCCTCTGCAGAGGTTGAGCACTAGGCGTGTCATGGACAAACCCAGGTGAAAGCAATGTTCAGTAATTCTCAGAAGGAACAGAGATGGGGGAACTATAGCAGCAGAGGACACTTTTCTACCACAGATTACGAAACAGTCACAAAGGCAAGATACATTGATAGTAGGATTAAGAAATTTCACTGGACCTTCTGGTAAAATTTCACTGGTCCTTTTTTCTCTATGTCTCTCTCTCTCTCTCTTTTTTTTTTTTCTTTTTTCATTTTTTGGAGAGGGCGTGTGCACTCGCCAGAAAGACAGAGAGAGACAAAGAAACAGAAAGTGAGAAATCACCCCCCTCCCCAGGGGGAATGGCCACGCCACAATCCCTTCTCCATTCTCCTCTCAGAATCTTGGGCACGCACACACAATGTGCCTGGCATGAGTTTAAGCCACCGGGTCTGGGACTCGAACCGCGGTCGACTACATGGGAATCCAGCGACATGGCCATTATGGTAATTGCTGGTCCCTCTGTGTCTCTCTCTCTTATCCTCATTCCTTCATTATTCCTCCTGCAGTCATTATCAAGACAACTTGCTATATGTTGGCAATAAGAGGATACATATCATAATAAGCTTTTTGAGGATTTTTCTGGCAGGTGACAGGGAGAGAATGAGTGAAAAAATTCTAGACCTAAAATATGAGGAGTGTTGAAAGTTTGACAAATTTTTATCTCTTTGTTGGTAGAGAAAGCAATGAAGAAAATGAGTCAATTATATAAAACTAATGGGACTATTCAGGAAACATGACCATAATTTGGAGTCTCATAAATTAGAGAGTGCCATATATATTCAAATATAAAATGTAGAAAAGGTCATTCGAAAAAATGTAAGGAAAGACACAAATGATCACTGAAGAGAAAACTCACCACTATTCATGGGAGATTAAATTTTAAATTTTGGCTAAGAGCAATGAAGAGCTCCAATGAGAAGCTGTTACTCAGCTTTCCTTTGTCCATCTGTAAAATGGGAATTAAAGAGCTAACCACTATAGACCTCCTTTACATGCACCTAGCATATACTAAGAATTAATATTCATTGTTACAATCGTAAAGATAATGAGACCTCATTAAGAACTCTGGGGAGCTCAGATTTACTTATTTAATGTAAAGAAAGATCATATATCCAACTATCAATAAAAATAGTATTAATAAAGTCTCTCAAAATATTTCCATGTGTTTGAAGAAAAAAAAAAAAAGACTAGATAGGGACATTGCTGGCGAAAATCATGTATGATTAACAGAAAACCAGGAAAATGATTCAGCTGTTTTTTCCCCTATTAATAGCAAATATCATCAAGTTTAAAGGGGAAAATTAAAAATTGTTAAGAAGAAAGCCCAGACAAGGGCAAGGCTGATAGAGAGCAGCTAGCTGGTTAAATGATTCAAGACATATACTCAGACCAGTTACATGAAATAGGGACGGACAGGCAGAGAGCCAGATAGATACATAAAGTATGCATGGGTATATGATCTGGCTCGGTAGTGTTTCATGTAAAAATTACCAGTGCCTTAAGCATAGTAGGTTTTCAATAAATTTTATGTGAATTTGATTGAAGACATAAGGGTTGTATTAACCACAGACTTATAACCCAGTGGTATAATGTGATTTTCAGAAAATACTAAACGCAGATCTGAGCTGAATGATAAAAGCATAGTATATAGATTAAGAGGGATAATAATCTTATTTGCATCTTTGCGACTTAAACTAAATTAACATCCTATCCAGTTCTGGACTTTTTTTTTTTTTTAAGAATTATTTATGGGGCCAGCAGGTGGCATGGTGGTTAAGGCACTGGATTCCCACATAGTTGACCATGGTTCAAGTCCCAGACCTGGAAGCTTGCTTTCTCACTTTCTGTGTGTGTGTGTGTGTGTGTGTGTCTTCCTGGAAATATTAAAATAATAATAAAGTAATTCTTTTTTTCAAAGAATTATACTTATTTTTTTATTAATTTGTTCAAAGAGACACAAAGGGGGGGGGAGAAAATGAAAGTGATAAAGCAAGCTATCAGGACTGGGCTCGATGCAAAGTCAGTTATATGGGAGTCCAGCGCCTTAACCTCCATGCCACTTGCCGGCCCTTTGGATACAGACTTTAATAGCGATATCAACAAAGTTTACCATCAGGATGGTAAAGATGTCTAAGTCTAGAAAATCATGTTCTAAAAACGTTGGAAGGCTTCCCTGCAAAGTATCTTTAAATATTAGAGGGCTTTGTCCAGTGGGAGATTGAATTTACTCAGTATTGCTCCAGAGGCCAGAACCCAGACCAGTGGAAATTTGTAGCATGCAGATTAAGGGAGGAACGTGTAACTATTATTATCTGCCAATGGAATGGCTAGTTTCCCAACAACGAAGTGTAGCATTTCCTGGAGATGGCAAAGAATTCTTTCACAGCCTGGATGATCATCTGCTGGAGATTCTTGCTTTGTGAAAAGTCAAGATCTGTAATCTCACCTCTAAGTCTAAAACCTGATTTTTCTACTTGACGTGCCAAACTAGAATTTTGTTAAACTTTATGCAGAAAAAGGGGAACTCTTCAACATGGTTAGTGGGAATGTAAATTAGTACAAACATTATGAAAACCAGTGGGGCAGTTCATTGAAAAACTAAAGACAAAACCTCCATGTGATTCAGAAACCCCACTACTAGGCATATATCTGAAGGAAAAGGAAAGGGAAGGAAATCGGTCTGTTGTGCAGATCTCCATGTTCTTGTGTTTATTGCGGTACAATTTACAATAGCCACCCTATGGATCACCCTCAGTGTCCATCAAAAGATGAATCATAAAAATGTGTGGAACACACACACGCACACGCGGATACTACTCAGACATTAAAAAGAATGAAATCTTGTCATTCAAGGTAACATGGACAAGCCTGAAAAATTTTCTGTTAAGGAAAAGAACCTAGGCACAGAAAAAAAGAAAAGTTGTGTGTTCTCACTCTTAGGTGGAAACCAAAAGCGTTCATCTCATAGAAGAAGAGGAGAATAGTGATTACTACATGCCGGGGAAGGGGGGGATGGGGGCAAAGAGATGTTGGTCCGTGGTTACAAAATTAGAATTAGATAAGAGGAGTAAATTCTAGTGTTCTGTAGCACAGTAGGTCAACTGCAGTTAATAATAATTTATTGTATTTTTCAGAATAACTACAAGGATTTTGAATGTTTCTAACAACAAACAATGATAAATATTTAAGATGATAGATATGCTAATTACTATTATGATCGTTACACATTATATTCATCTATTTAAAAAATCAAGATGCGCCCCATAAATATGTACATTATTATGCGTCAGTTTTTTAAAAATAGCTGTATTTTCCATGGTTTGTATATATTTTAATAATTACTACTGTTAAAAAGCAAAATTTCAGTAAATTTAATTTAAAGATCAAATTGGTTTTTATTAGGAACTCATGAATCCAAGTAGTATCGCATCTGAAAAAGAGTCACTCTGCTGGGTATGGCAGAACAGTTGGTTTTTACCAGATAGCTAGAGCAGGGACAAGGAAACATAATATGATACAAAAACCGGGTTGGTGGGGCCAGCAGGTGGCATGGTGGTTCAGGGTGCTGGACTTCCACATGGCCAACTGTGGTTCAAGTCCCAGATCTGGCTGCTTTCTCTCTCTCTCTCTCTCTCTCTCTCTCTCTGTCCCTCTCTGGTCAAATTAAAATAAAGTGCAATAAAATAATTCTTTTAAAAATATGGGTTGGTTAAAATCAGGTTACTTCATGTTACGTTTCTGACAAGGGTTAAAAGAGAGCATCAGCCCCTTCTGATTGGTTGCTGTGAGTTTCCTCTTCAGAGGAAAATGGGTCAGTTTAGGGATTTTTCTGCTTCTTTGAAGTTTTAATTTGATTATGTGGCACTTAGCTTATGACTCCAATTTGATTTGAAGTGTTGGGACCTAGGGCAGGAGCTTAGTTCAAGACAATGACCTATAAATTTTACTTAACACTATACTATAGATGTTGTATAGAACAATGTTATTATACTGGGAAAAATTTCCAAGTAATAATCTACTTAAAATCAAGCAATATCATATTATTTTGGAAAGGTTTTTGCTATAGGGTGCATGCACTCACCTGAAAGAGAGAGACAGAGAGACAGAAAGCGAGAAATCACTCCTCAGGGGGGATGCCGCACCGCAAACCCTTCTCCTCCAGTCACCACTGGGATCTTGGGCACGCACGCACACACACCCAGCATGAGTTAAAGCCACCAGGTCTGAGACTTGAATCACGGTCGACGGTGGGAGTCTAGCAACATAGCCATTACACCAACTGCTGGTCCCACAATATCCAATATTACAAAGTTTCCGTAAAAGGAAGACATTTGGAAAGTTTCTAAATATGACTATGTCAACTTAATGAGAAATTAATTCTTTTCTTTTTTAAAAAAATATTTTTAGAGCTTTTTGCCTTAGGACACTTGTGCTCAGCAGAGAAAAAGACAGACAATGAAAGGGGAAAATGAGAAATCACCCCCCAGGTGGAATGGCCACGCCACAATCCCTTCCCCTCCTGTGATCTTGGGCATGTATGCACACTCACCCAGCATGATTTTCAAGCCACCAAGTCCACAACTCAGACTGCAATAGGCCATGTGGGAGTCCAGTGACATAACTGCCATGCCACCAGCCACCCCCATAATTTTCCATTTTGAACTATTACTAAAAAGATTATATGTATAACTCTTTCCAAATACTCTCATTTCAGTGCTTAAAAATCCAGATTTCCTTACACGGTATTACAAATGGAGGAAGATTGATCTACAGTTTCCTAAAGAATGGAATTTAAAGTAAGTGCTGTATGCCTTGAACGCATTATCTGGTGAACTCAAAATATCTACGATTCCATGTTCTACTCTCTAACTGGAACACCACAAGAAACCCTTGGGAATAACAACTTATGCCCTTCTCTAAGAAGAAGACATAGTGTAAAGAAGTATCATTTCTTTGATTGGGTTGTTGGAAAAGTCATGACACACTTTTGCATACAAAACCATAGGAAAATACACATCATGACTTTTTAACAACCCAATATATATGAACCCAGGTGGTAGATGTCTTTGTGCATGTTCGCTGCTGAGGATGGAGACAGGACATGCAGCACAGTGAAGACCTCTCATGGTGCCCTCCTGATTAATATTCTTAATCTCATTTCCATCAACTTATCACCATATGACTCAGCCATCGTTTTCTTTAAAAGCAAGTAAAAATGTCTTTATTTATCACCAGTTAGTTCTCCTCCTTCTTATAGCTCTAAAATACCTTCTCTTCTTCCACAGATTTCTCATCGAAGAACCAAATATATTAAATTTAAGGAGGAAGTAATGAAGTAAAATACAAACATAAGTTATAATATCTTTAGAAATCATTGACTCTTAGATCTCATGAAGGAAGGGAGCTGAATCTCATCTTTGATCTCTTGACTCCTGAAGGCAGTTTTTTTTAATTCATTTATTTTAATTTGACCAGAGAAAGAGACACAGAGTTATAGAGGGGAGGGGGGGAGTGAGAAAGCAAGCCACTGGGTCCAGGACTTGAACCACGGTCAGCCATGTGGGAGTGTCCAGCACCTTAACCACCATGACACTTGCTGGTCCCTAAAGGCATTTTTTTTCTGCTTTGTCTTATGAAAGCAGAGATTCTGTTTCAGTTCTGTGGTAGTGGCTATGTGGCCATAGTCATTCCTGTGTGCCTCTTTCAAGGTACCCAATGACTATGTTACCTAAAGCGAGGGGAATTAAAGATCCTTTTCTTTTTTTCAATTGCCAGAGGGTGTGTGCATGCAAGAGACAGAGAGAAGGAAATGGGGGGAAGCATCCCTCCAATGAAGTGTAGTTACACCACAATCCATTTCCCCCTATTTCCCCACCCTTTTGAGAGCTTTGGCAAGCACACACACACTTGAAACGCGTTTCGAGTTCCCGGGGCCCGAATTCAAAGAACGTGATTACCATGTGACATCAGGCTCCCTTAACCACTAGGGTGCCAGCCTAGAGATCCTGGTTTTTGCATTTGTCTCATTAACCTTGTTTTTTTAACTCTTCAACTTACTGTTCGCAATGTGTTTTCTCCTTTAGATGATATAGGATGGATAGAAACAATGTGCTATATTCTGATTTGTGTGCTATATTCTGATTTGGGGTAGAAATCAAAGTTCTTCAAATATTTTTTCTGATGGTGTTACATCATAGTTCCGATTGGGTTTTTTAGTTGAATTTCCTTTATTTTTGGTTAACTTCTGTAACAATTTCCCTTTAAGCTAAAGTAGAGAAAAGATGTTGTATTAGATACTTTTCTGCTTTCAGGATAAATTACAGGCAGTAGGAAAGTTTCTATTAAGTGGGATTTGAAGGAGTACAAGCTTGTTTTTCCCTTGAAGGCACGTTTCAAGTTTCTTTCAGAGTTGAAGAAAGTTAGAATACAAGATGAATTTTGCTTTGACATGACTTCCTTTTATATTTCCTTCAACAGAACTGCTTTGTTTTATTTGTTTGATCCTTGATTCATTATGTAATGCTAGCATCCCACAGAACCCCAAGATTTAGAAAATGTAAGACCATGTCATTTTCAACTTATCCGTCCACTTCTACATATGACTAAAATAATTGTAAGCTTTTTGAGTGCTAGAACATTTTTTCTAAGTACATCATTTTGAAGTTACAGGTCAAATTATCATGTGCATAGTGACCCTGTCAGAATAAAACTCTCACACCTTGTGCCATCTGGTGGTTGATGAGGATATTCTTAGGTCAAATGATAATTGCTTCTTACAAATTTTGGAGCTGATTAGTCAAAAAGAAAAAAAAAAAACCCACTATTTAAAGAAAGGTTTTGAAAGCTACTATATTTATCTGTACTGTATTATAGTATAAATATTTGAGTGTAGAGGAGTAATAAAAATCTACAGAATGGTCAAGTTTAACTTCTTTCAGATAATTATCAGAAGTCTCATGTGCACCAGAATCCATGTGGCGTGATTAAGTGGTCAATTCAGATAGTGAAGTAGAAAATGTTTTGAGGAACTAAGCAAATGAATAATTGGTGTGTATGTGCATATCATGTAATACCATTATGCATCTCTATTTTTTTTAAGGTTTTAAAATGCTCTCCTTGCACTTAAATTTCCTGTTGGCAAGAATGCAAACAGAAAGTACAAACAGATTCATTCATTTGTACGGTGTTAAGGAAAAAGACTTACTAACTCTCCCTCCTGTTCCCTCTGTCCTCTCCTCTCATGAGTTAATATCCAATTCTCAAGCTACACTGAATTCTGTCTCCTCAGTACCATCCAGGGATATAAGATCTCTTTGCCACTTTGTGCCTTTTCCCTGGATTATCATTCTCAGCCAGGTCCAAAGGTTAGATTTGATCTGAGTTAAGAGGCAGAATTAGGTCAGCCAGAAACGTGGTGGTTAAGGAGGAGGATCCCACACGGCTGACAGTGCAGTGTGAGTCCCATACCTGGGAGCTTGAAAAGCACACTGGGTGTGTATGCACGCATGCCAAAAATCCCAGGAGAAGTGGAAGAGGGACTGTGGCATGGCAAAATCCCAAGAGGGTTGCTTTCTCACTTTTCTTTTCTCTATCTCTCTCAGGTGAGCACACATGCCCTCTAGCAGATTTTAAAAAGAGAGAGAGAGAGAGGCAGAATGTGTAGTGCTCAAACACAGGGCTCTACAGCCATACTCTGAATTCGAATATTGGCTCTACTGATCTGCAGCTCTGGGACCTCAAGCAATTGAGCTGCTCTTTGTGTCTCAGTTTATCTATTAAATGGCAAGAATGAGCATACCTACCTCCCAAGGAAGTTGTGAGGACTGAATAAGTTAGTATATATAAAAGGCTTCTAACAATTTCTGGCAATGGCGAGTGGCCGTAAGACTGAGTTAGCCATGCCTTTGCTACTGTGGCCCTGCAAGCGGAAAAGCTTTGGAAACAGCACCGGGAGAAGAACGTGGGCTTTGCAGTCAGACAGATCTTGGAGAAATTCTTACCACTCTGGACTTGTTTCCTTATCTGTTCAATGGAAATGACATCACCTACCTTGCAAAGTTGTCTTGCTTTCTGTCTCTTGAATGACATCATGTATAAAAAATAATATGGAGTCACACATGGGTACGCACTGAATAATAACCCCTGAGGAGAAAAGGAGATGAAAGCTCATACCCCCAACTTCTCAGAGAATAAAAATACTCTGTCAGAAATATATTAAAAATGTCCAGTTTTCTCAGGTTATAAAAACAACACCTGTGGGGGCAGGCAGGTGGCGTGATGGTTAAGGGTGCTGAACTCCCACATGGCTGACTGCGGTTCAAGTCCTGAACCTGGCAGCTTGCTTTCTCTCTCTCTCCCTCTCACTCACTCACTCTTCTCTCACCATGACCCTCTCTGGTCAAAGAAAGAAAGAAAGAAAGAAAGAGAGAAAGAGAGAAAGAGAGAAAGAGAGAGAGAGAGAAAGAGAGAAAGAAAGAGAGAGAAAGAGAGAGAAAGAGAGAGAGAGAGAGAGAAAGAGAGAGAGAAAGAGAGAGAGAAAGGGAGAAAGGGAGAAAGGGAGAAAGGGAAAGGGGAAGGAAGGAAGGAAGGAAGAGAGAGAGAAAGGAAGGAAAGGAAAGGAAAGAAGGAAGGAAGGAAGGAGGGAGGGAGAAGTAGAAGAAAGAAAGAAAAGGAAAGGAAGAAACAAAGAAAGAAAGTTCAATAAAATAATTATTTTTTAAAAAATAAAAGAACACCTGTAATGACCACGTTTATTTTAGCCCAGTCATGCCTATGCCCACTCTACCTCCATCCTTTCTTCTGCCTGGCAAGGAACCTCATGAGGATGGCATGAAAATGCAACTTAAGCTTTATCTTTTTATCATATAGTCCCTGACATACTCAGGTATCCCCATTTTCCCCATCTTCTTTCATTCTTTCATCCTTTCTTTCTCCCTTCCCTTCCCTTCTCTTTCTTCTTTCCATAAATGAAAAAAAAAAAAAGAGAGAGAGAGAGAGAGAGAGAGATTGACTGAGGGAAACAGCACTCCCAGCAAGATTCTGGCACTGTGGTCCACCCCAGCCTTCAGCCAGCCCCAAATCATGGGCACATGCACACCAACCCAGCATACTCAGGGTGGTCCATGAACCAGAACTGGGAACCTTCCCCATGGGATTTTCTTGCAGACGTGTCTGATTTTTACCATTGTACCACCATCTGGCTCCCACCCTCTCTTTGTGTAGTACCCTGCTGCTGTCTCATTCTGCCCCTGTGGTATGCAAATCCATCTGTTTATAGACACTGACCAGGGAAAGGACACTGGTGTAGCTTGGGAGGTGATTTCTCACTTTCTTTTTTTTTTTTTTTTTTTTTTTTTTAATAATCTTCTTTTTG